ATGTTGTTGAAAAAGAAGATAAAAAGATGGGAAGGCGTGCTAGAAAAAGGTGAGTTAATTAAAATGCTACTAGTAGTAAAATGAAAACGCACAGGCATGCGCAGCGACAAAAAATTTCAATTATATTATAATTTCAACACAGCTTGTTAACACATGCTAAGTTTGCACTGCTCTCTTGTTGCGGATAGGATTAGTAGTATTTTTGATGTGAATCGCACCAAGGACAGGGGCGAAGCCGGGCGGGGCCGCCCAGCCTAAAAGTCTACCGCCCAGCCTAAAGCAAAATTTAATGCCTTCCCCCCAGCGTCAAACGTACATATCCGCCTATCCCGAATTCTTACTTATTTCGCGAGATATCATCACATATTTCTAGCCTCAAACCTCATGCAAGCAGCCTAGCAAATAAAACAACATCGGAAAACCAACCAAGTGGAACTGCCAGGCTTTAGCGCTGATTGGACGCTCACATTCTACTTGACTGAACAGTAAACTGTGTGATCAGCTGGAAATTGACACTTTGCGTCCTATCAGTCACGTGATCTGTATGCGGTATTGAGTTTGTTATTGTTTTGAACGCTCGAGTTAATACACTGTAAAGATGGCCGAAGCGAGTGTAAATCGCTGAATGTCTGTTGTAAATGACATTAGAATTGCAGTGTCTGTATTTTTAGAAGTGAAATTTCTTTTACCAAATCACTGACAAATGTTCCAACATTTATGTCGGAGAGGTTAAGCCAATATACATCAAAGGGAGTAAAATATAGCGATGGTAAAACTAAGTAGGCCTAGCATATGGGGATTGTGAATGATTCCCGTACGCTGTGCGCTACGCGACCCGTGGCAATCACTGGTCGGAAGGCTAAGAATAAAGCATAAAATCACAGCTTACAGCAAACATTTTTTAATGTACAGCGACAAAGTGTTACATGAATGCCAGTTATATACTACAGGCACATTTTTGAATTAGTTTTCATATATATTTATATTCTCAAATATATTACTTAACCAGAGAGCATCTGTTCATGATTACTGTACAATTTCGCTATTCCCGCATCGAATGTTTTGATTTTATACCGCATACAGATCACGTGACTACCCTGGCAGCAGCAAGCGCAAAGTGTCAATTCGCGTGTTAGCGGTGCTATGGTTAAACAAAAGCGTTTTCGGCTTTGATTACGGTTATCTTCTCGCGGTGCCTTTTGTAGATTATTTTCCCGAGTTGTCAGTGGATGATTGTCAATTGTTTTAGTTTTGGTTGTTTAAATAGACAACTGTAATCCCTGGTTCACTCATTCCATGATTTAGTCTTCAAAATGTCATCCAAGAAAGCAAAGCAATCTCAACAAAGAAAAAATACCTCAAAGCGCGATAAATTAAGTATAAAATTTTAATTCTGTTTGATATCATCATTATACTGTTTGTTACATCAGACCATGATGTATTCGGACCATATTTATACACAAAACGCATTGTCTCATTGTTTCCCACACGATGATTAACAACTATTTCCCACGCTACAACTATTTTTAACTCTCTTGGTTTTCCCATGTAGTGCGTCAGACCTCCAGAACACGCAGATGCAGATAAACAAATTATACATACAATACTGTAAACACTTTATTAACTCCTGCTAATTCATATTTGACCAACCAAAGATATGAGCATTATTATCAGTATTGTTTCTTTATAATAAATAAACAACAACACTTTTTAAAACATTGTATTTATTTTTTTATTATTAACTTCTTTATTCAATACTGCATAAATAAATAATTCACAATCGAAAGCTACGTGCTTCGCAAGAAAACGTCTGGTGAATGGAGTCAAATCTCGAGCTACCGTTGTCAATCTCGATCGGAGCATCATTCGTGTGTTGATAGAGGCTGAATGTTTGTGATTTGTTCATCGAAAGTTTGTTTTGAAATTGAACAAATAACAATTTTTTTTTACATTAATGTACTTACAATTCTTGCAATATAACACATACAACAATAAATCGATCGTTCTATTTATGTCTTTTTTTCCCGCACCTTCGATTCGAATGTGTTTGTTGTAAGAATACTCTAGGAGGCTAGGCCTAGTTGTTTTCTGAGACTAGGCTAGCGGCAGCCAGTGCGTGTGGCTGTCTCTTATACACATCTAGATGTGTATAAGAGACAGCTAACACAATCTACTTTGATTGTGTTAGTTTGTGATGTGAGCAACGAAATCATGACTATATATGATGACCACATATAGACACATCATGACTATATATGGGAAAGAAAATTTGATATTAAATCTGAACAGAGCTTACGAATCATTATGTATGTATTCCCAAAACACTAGATTTAAAAATACATATGTTCCT